TTGAATCAATGCCGAAACGTGTGGCAGGGGATTTCCAACAATGGTGGCTCTCTGGCCTGATTTGGGCAGGAACCACACTTCACAGAAGTCTATAAATTTAATCATTTGATCTTGGTCAAATTTCCCCACAAAAATAAATTTTTTTGTGCTATCTGTTTTTTTTCGGTATTGCATTTATGGTGGCCAGCAGTGTATTTATTCAAATTAAGTTTAACAAGGGAATTAATATTTAAAAAACCCTTATTAACATGTGTCCTCCACTAAAATTTTAAAAAAAATGTATTTGAACGGGAATGGATTAATAGAAATTATTTTATTAACGTTTAAAAACTTGAAAAAATATATATATATATATATATATATATATATATATATATATATAGGAGATTGTGAACTAATAGTAGGAATTGAAAAACAGGTACTTTACCTTAAATACGAGGTAACTGAAATGTTTTGGAACTAATTTAATAATAATAATAAAAGAGTATTAGGAAATATTAGACAAAATAAGTGGACTGTTTACCAGTTGATAACATACATGTATTCAGGTAAACAGACATCAAACCTATCGCACATCAAAACAAATATAAAAGATAATGCATAAGAAATTTCTTTCTGATAAAATGTACAAATAAAGATTTGTGCGACATAAAATCTAGGTTGTGTTGCATAAGTGTCTTTCTTTTTTCTTGTTTACTTCTTAACTTTCAGTGAATTTATCAAGTGATAACGCTTATTTTTTTACGAAGGAGCACATTATTTCTTGTTTTATGTTATCGTTTTTAAAAAAGTACACATTGGGATAAATTCCTGATGACCATACACTAATAGATGCAAACACGTGTTCTTCATTCAATTCAAAACTGACACTAGACTTGTTATATTACCTGTAAAATTAAGATAAAATAGCAAATTTTATGGATTTGACGATAATTTATAAGGTATCCGACTACATTCCGAACCACAATTTTGTAAAAGCGTAGAAACGAATATTTTTTTAAATATTTAGTGTCACTAAAATTGTTTTATAAGTCTTATTACAATAAAAAATAATTAAATGCAATATTTTGACAAAGAATAAACATAGAATTGACTATTTTCAAAACATTATCCTTTTATGAAAAATTATTCTATAATAATAATAATTTGCTTATGTACAGCTAATACTTCTCCACAGAGTCTGAACTGAAAAATTCACAATATTTTCAGGTTAACTACCAATTGTAATAATAATCGGTAATTTTTTTGTTAAAATTTTTCTACTCTGATGTATTAAAATATGGATAAATCCAATTCTAAGTTACCGTAAAATCCAGCGTATAACGCGTACCTATACTTTCAAGCTACAATTGTTAGCTTTCAGGTATATTCGTGGTATAACGCACACCCTATTTTTTACCAAGAAACCTGAAATGTACGTTGAAATGCTCTCATGTTGTGAAATCATTTATTAGAGATATTATTCGAATTCTCAGAAAAAATGGTATACTTCTAAAATACAACCCTTTAAGTTCATAATAAATATCGTTTACTTAAAGAAGCAGTATTTCTATATACGTAGAAGTCTAATTTTTTATAATGTTCATTTCTTTTTATTTTTGAAGCTATCATTTTTATACCCTTCGTAAAACGCTCACCCGTAAATTTCAATCTTATTTTTTTGTGTTGAAATGCACGCTAGATTTTACGTTATATATTTCAAAACTCCTAGTCCAGGCTCTGTGCAGAGGTCTAAGCTACACAAAGGCAAAATATTATTATAGAAGCAGTTTTCCTAAAAGGAGAATGTTTCGAAAGAAGAGCAATTCTGCGTTAATTTTTTTAAAAAAAATAAAAAATTACATTTAAATAATTTTTTATTTTAATAATGTTCTTAAAATAAATTTTATACGTGTATTCTAATCTAAGTGATGCAAAATACTAAAAAGTATATTTTCGTTTGTACGCTTTTTCAAAATCAGACTTCCAAACGTTGTCAGATAGATTAAGTATTTTGATTCCTTAAAAACCAATTGAATGTAAACTTAAGGTATCCAAGGCTTCGGAACCACGTAATTTTAAAAGCCCATACATGTATAATTTTCAAAAGCGATATTTAGTGTCACTTGGAATTAGGAATACATCTTCTCAAAAGTGTTTGAAAGGACACATTTTGACAAAAATTATTTAAATGATACAATATTTTGGCAAAAAATTAACTTAGAATAATTTTCCGTGTTCTCCTTTTGTGAAAAATGCTTTTATTATGATAATATTTTGCCTGTATATAGCTCAGACCTCGGTACAGACTGCTTTCAACTAAATTTTGGGAAATATATAACTTAAGTGAGTTTTATCCATATTTACGACAACAGAGGGGAGCAATTTTAAGAAAAAAATGCCAATAATTATTTCAATTGGTGGTAACTCTGAAAATAAAGTGAATTTTTCAAACATTCTAGTTGAGCCCTCTGTAGAGAGGTCTGAGCTATATACAGGCAAAACATTATTACAATAGAAGCATTTTTAACACTAGGAGAACATTTTGAAAAAAGATTATTCTAAGTTAATTTTTTGCCGAAATATTGTATTTAAATAAATTTTTTTATCAAAATGTCCTTAAAACAATTTTATTCATGTATTCTAATCTAAGTGACACTAAATATCAAGACAATTATCCATTTATGCGCTTTTTTAAAATCACGGTTCCGAACGTAGTCGGATACCTTAAGGTCTCACTTTAAAGCTAATCTAGGAATAATGGCGACAGATTCATAATTTTAAACTTCGGTTAAATGACGAAGAAGATATCTCAAGTTTTGTCTTCGGCACTTTACCGCAGTATAAAATGACGAGGTCTATCGGCAAAAGCCTTCATGTTGCTTTATAGAGCGGCATAAATAAACAAGCGATTAGTTATAGCTTTGCATATTTACAATATATATACTCTTGGGTTTATCTCTCAGCTTCATGGTTCAGAGCAAGAAAGATCACTTTCTCGAAATTCTGTTACAACTGATAGCACACAATAGAAACCTGCGAATTACTACTTTTGCTGGTCATTCTGAATTTCAACATACATTTCATTCATGCATTGAAAGAGATAACGGAGGAAAAAGGTTTGTATTGACATCCATAATCGTCACCCTGATAAGTCATTTTAGCGTAACATTTGTAAGTTGCATATATATTTAAACACCTAGAAAACTGAGTATCATAACAAATATATACCCGTACCTTGTGCGTCTCATTCATTCATTTTTTTTCTTACGTTTGTTTGATTTGAGTCTGTATCTAGAGTTCAGAGTCCCTGTATTACGGTAAATATTGCTTACAATTTTTCAAATGCAACTTTTTGGGCTTCTCTTTTATATTTTAAAACATAACGTTTCTCTCAGCTTTTATTCAATTCCTACTATTAGTTCACTCTCTCCGTATAAACATATATATATATAACAAACTCATGGACAAAAAAATTAGCGCACCAAGAAATAACTGTAGGATCGTAACGAAACTTGGCTTGAAGGTACAAGTCGGGGAGATATGCAAATAATTAGAAATGCAGCGTGATTGCGCATTACGTATGACCGGTAGAGAACGTTTAGCGTCGTTCTCCGTGGAGTATAAAACAGGTAACCAAAGTTTGTTTGAGCGTGCTAAATCGCTTAGAAAGGAAGAGCCGAGGTAGACTTGCCAGTACGCCAATTTCAAAGACAATATGAGCAGCCATCGCAGTTTGAGCGTTGAAGAATCATTGGCATGATGGAAGCTGAGTGGTCAGCTAGGCGAGTAGCTCCTCAATCAGGCCACTCTGATTGTGTTGTGAGGAGGTGTTCGGACCAGTGGATCCGAGAGATGTCATTTACACGAAGACCAGACTCAGAACGCCCTAGACAGACCAGTCATCCAGAAGACCGCCACATCGTTAGAAATGCACTTGTACAGCCAACTGCTTCATCCCGCCATCCAGGCACAGGTGGCGCCTTCACTAGGGGCCCCTGTGCCTTCTCGAACCATACGAAGCCGCCTGGCTGAAGGACATTTGGGATTGTGGCGCCCATTACATGTTCTGCCCTTGAGGCCCACCCATCGACGTCTCCGTTTGGAGAGGTGCCAAGCACGAGGAAACTGGACTGCAGCGGAATGGAACCAGGTTGTTTTTAGCGACGAATCCAGATTCAATCTCAGCAGTGATGACAATCGTTTTCGTGTGAGGAGACCCCATGATGAACGCCTCAATTCTGCCTTTGTTTGCAGCGACAAACCACTCCCACGGCTGGTGGGATGGTCTGGGATGTCATTGCCTACGATACACAGTCACCCCTAGTATTGATCCGTGGCACCATGAGATGCAGCGGTATGTCCATGAAATCATGCAACCACATGTACTGCCACTCATGCAACGGCTCCCAGGAGCCATTTTTCAACAAGACAACCTCGGCCTCACACGGCAAGGGTGTCACAACACTGTCTTTGCACTGTCACTACCCTTCCTTGGCCTGCCCGATCCTCATATTTGTCTCCAATCGAGCATACAAGACATCCTACAGAACTTGTATGCCTCAATGCCTGATCGTATCGCATCGTGCATTCGTGCTATATATATAGAGGGGGTTCAACAGGGTATTAAATCCTCCGTTCTTTTGCCTTTTTCTCTGAAATAAATGATGCTTTTTCTTTGATTTTTTAATCATTTACTTTTTCAAAGTAGTCATTACGTATGTATGTAAAATTTCGTTTCATTTTGTCGACTCCTTCTTGGTGCGCTATTTTTGTTGTCCATGAGTGCATATATATATATATATATAATATCTTGTTCAAATTTTCAATCGTTGATAAAATGCTTTCTATTCATCCATTCAAGTTCAAATACAATTTTTAAAACTTGTAGTAGATGTCACTTGTTGTTAATACAGTTTTTTTTTAAATAATAATTCATTAATTAAATTAAAAATGAATAAATAGTAACAAACAAAAATACTAGTCCAACACCCTATATAAAAAGGAAAATCTGTCCTTGTATCCCTGTAGCGCAATGGATAGCGTGTTCGACTTCTAATTCAAAGGTTGTGGGTTCGAATTCCACCTGGGATGGCCTAATTTCTGAGAATGCGATTTCTTTTTACTATACTATTTTATTGGAATCATTCCATTTATTTAACGAATTTAGAAACAAAGAAAAATAACAGTCTAGCACCCTATATAGAAAGTAAATTGAAAATTGCGATGAAAATCGCTTTCAATTTTGCCTTTTAATATTGTGATTTTGTCATATGAATATACATATTTATATTAATTGTAATTATTTAATAAAAAGTAGTTAAAATAAAGTGTTCCTTTTTTACCTAAATAGGAATTAACTTAAAAAATTTGCTTTACATATTACTTGTTACATAATTGTTTTAAAGTGATAGATCATTTGATTCTGTAACCATCAGTAGAAACTTTCTTCTTGGTAGATTTGTTACAGTCACAAAATTTCTTTATCATGACTAAAAGAATGATTTCTATGAAACTTTCTTTAATCGCTATTAATTATGGAATTAATTTATTATCAGTGCGCTATGCGCGCAAGCCATGTTAATCCGAGTTGTGAAAGTTTGGTGCTTAGTACTTTTCAAACAGTCTAGCATTAAAAGTTCGATATGAAAAGAATCATAATAATGGCCTATATTACATAGATTTTAAAACAAGCCAAATGAGATAAGCAAAACTACATTTTCTTTTCTTTTTTGTGGGTAAAAATGAGCATCTAAAAAAATGCAATTGGAGAAATTTAGAAACATCAGGAGGAAAATAAGAAAAAAATAAAATATATATGGAAAACAAATTGCAGAAGAAAATAAAAATAAAATAAATAAATAAAAGGGTACTCTTATACGTATTATTGAAACAATGCCAACATTCAAGATATCTCGCCTAGGTGGAAGCCCTAATTTCGCATGTGTATTAAGCGTTGAATTGGCAACCATGTGATTAATTTCATATTACGTTGCCAATACGGTTGAGATAATACAGTAAGTACCAGTAAAAGTTTAAAGTAAAAATTTCGGGATGGAAAAATATATGTATAAACTAACGAAATGCTAATCAAGAATGGAAATAAGCTAATTTCTCTGATAACAAAGCAGGTTAAAAGTGACAATTCGGCAATCTTTTGGGTCCATAAAAATTTTAAAAGAAGCAAAGCCCAAATATTTCTTTTTTTTAAAAAAAAAAAATAAGTAACAACCTGGTATATATTTTAATTTATTCTATTCCTACTACTAGATCACACTCTCTATATATTTATTTATTTATCTTCGTGGAATTTTCAATCGTTAATAAAATACATTTTACAGCACTCAATTGAGCTGAAATTTTGTATACATGATTATTTAATAATTTAATTATAGTTAATAAAAATTAATTGATTAAAACTAATTATTTAAAGAATTACAAATACAGCCACGTTGGCGTCATTTTTGGCGACTTGTGTCAAAACTTGAAAATGTTTTTTTCTCACGTTTTAAAGCATTCAGTTGAACTAAAATTTTATATACACGATTGTATTGGATGACAATGCGATACCTTAATGATAATTAATAAAAATTAATTACCACATTAATGTTATGATTCTGTCATATGAATATAGGTATTTACATTAATTGTAACTATTTAATAAAAAGTAGCTAAAATAAAATATTTTTCTTTGTTCATCTAAGTAGGAGTTGACTTAAAAAAAATTTTTTTTATATTACTTGTTTTTCAATTTACTTTCATATATAAAACAAAACCTAAATTTGTTACTATTTTTCCTTAAATTTCCTCCTTCGAAGGCGAAGCAATCGTTTTCATAGCTCTGTATAATTGTGTGATATACTGTTTTCTATAATTGTATGGATCTCTATAATGTATGTTTAGCCCAATATTTTTTTATTGACGACTTTTCTTTTCTATTGTACACAGAATGAATCTCGATTCCAAATTATACGGAGTAAATCCAATACCGTTTCCGAGCGTGAAAAAGTTTTTCAGAGAAACACTTCCATGGCTTGGAGCGATCAAGGATGGTGAAGATGACGTTGTCTTGGACATAGGTTGTGGTCCTGGTGGAACTACAGTCCAATTAATACTTCCACTGCTGCCCAAATTGAAAATATTATATGCAATTGATGCAGTACAGAATATGATTGATTTAGCACGAAAACGAAATTTCCATCCTAAAATTCAGTACAGTGTGGCTAATATAGAAGATTGGTATGGAATCCTTTATGTTCATTTAAGCATTAATCTTAATACTTAAGGAATCCGAACACGTTCGGAGTACTTTTTAACAAAATAACATATTTAAACATTATAAATGCTTTTCTAGGACTCTCTATATATATACTATAATAAATACTACCATTTAACTAACAATATTTAAAATAAACTACATGGATTTTACAAAAATCACAATTATAAGGGAAATTTTAGCAATAATTTTGAATAACTTCAAAGCAGTTAGAAAAAAACTAATAAGCATATATGAATAAAATATTACTAAAACAAATTAGATGCAATTATCTAAAAAATGTACTAAAATGTTAATGTTTTATTAAAATTTGAACATTTTAGAGTTGATTGAATAAACATTATAAGAAATGTTACATTCTTTATGAGACCATTATTTGAATAACAAGCCATAACTCAAAAAGCATTCATACAATGAGAAACATTTTAGTACATTCTCTACAAAATAACATAAATATCAGGTTCAAAAAGTTTTATAGAAATACATTCGTAACATTTTGAGTTATCAGACTCGCCGTGTTAGATTTTAAGTAATTTAAATGCTCTCTTCTGGTAGATCAAAGAACCACTTCCGGTTTTTCTAACTCTATAAAATTGATTGCATATTAGCCTCTAGGTAAAGTAGAAACAAAACCAAGTATGTTTCGTAAAGCCAAAAGATAGCTCTATTCAATAAAATAAAATACAAAAATACCTGTCTTGACCGAATTTTCTCATTTTCAACGTGTTCGGATACCTTAAGTAATAAATGCAAAGACGTGCGATGTTTTTTTCACTCACCTGAATAAAATTTATTGTTTGAAAATTATTACCTCTCATGTTCTTTAGAAAGATGGCTGGGTGGCGTAGTAGGTTTGGCACTGACCTTGTACTCCCAAGTTTGTGAGTTTGGCCCCGGCCAAGTCGGAGAATTTTCGTGAAGCAAAAAATCGACAGCCTCCATGTCGTATGATTAAGCGGAATATAAAATATCCCTTGAGGGCGTGTTTGGCTTGAGTGCTCTCTGCAAAACGAAAAATCTTGGAACGGTTTCGCATCGTCAGAGCTCAGGTGCCTGCTTCCGAGGAGGAAACTCTGGGTATCAAAGTTACATTGCGGTGATTGATATTCTACCTATGTGGTGCCTCAATAAAAATGATACCTGCCCCTGTGGAATGTACTAGGTCTACAATGGTAATTACTAATCCTCAGCCCCATTAAAAAATAATTATCACACACACACACCTTTAACAATTTCAATTCCAATTAGAAGTAACTTTTAAGGTGCATATTTGTGCACCTCCAGTTGTTATTCGTTCCCAGATGAAAATGTGATTCAAACTGAAATTTTGAGAGTAATATTATTTTTTAGGATGATAACGTGCTTATTTTGTCTATTTATAGCTATACACTTAAGTTTAAGTAAGAATATATATATATATATAGGCCAATTCTCTACTAACAAGAGATAACATCCAAACAATAACATTCGACAAACACATATATATATATTAAGTTTATATTCTAATCAAAAATTTAAGAAAAATTTAGAAACACAAATTTGCGTAGAAATTTTTTTTTTATCTTGATATATTTCGTGCTAATTCGAAATTCAATTGGCTTATTTATAACTGCCCATAAATGGTAATTTTTTCCTTCAATTTAAGTTTTAATTTATGCACATATATCTGAAGAAACTTATTGTAATTATTGTTGACATGTAACATTAATATAGAACATATAATTTTCACACACCCGGTTGGATGGCGTAGTTGGTTTATCGTTGACCCTATAAGCCCAAGGTTGAGGGTTCAACCCCAGCCTAAGTTGGTGGATTTTCATGATGCAGAAAACCAACAGGGTCCATGTCGTATGATTATGCGCGACATGTTAAAGAACCCTAGAATGCTTTGTTTGGCTTGGGAGCTCACGAAAATATTAAATTTCTAGTACCATTTCGCATCGTCAGAGCTCAGGTGCGTCCCTCTGGGGAGGAGACTCGGCGTCAAAATTACATGTGGTGATTGGTATTCTACCTATATGATGTTGCACTATAAGAACGGATAACAACTCCCTGGAAATGTACTAAGTCTGAAATGGTAAAATATCAATCCGCAGCCCCATTAAAAAAATTAATTTTTTAAATGTTCTTTAGAAATTACTTTGTAGCTTTTTTTTTTTTACATATTCTGAAATAAATGTAATCGCTCTTACAAATATGGAAAAATCAATTAAATTTATAAGTTTGGAAAAGAATATTACGGAATTTACTCCAACGGATTTTGTGCCATACAATATGATTTTTTATTCGAAATATTTAATGTGAAATAATAAATTTAAACACATTGTTAAATTAAGAACACCTTTTTCACTTATGAGGTAAGGTGTATTGAAAAAAAAAAAGATATACCTTGAGATTGTTAAACACAATTTACAAACAATTTTAAATATTAAATATAATTTATGGGGTTTATGAAAGCTCAGTTCCAAAATGCAACATATATATTTAATTTTTAATAGCTAAATGTAGAAAGAAAAACTAGATAGTAAACAAAGTAAATCTAGCAGGAAATTTTAGAAATGTAGAAACAGAATATTTAAAATACTTTAAATGATTTAGGTTTAAATGATTTAGGTTTAAATGTGTATAGTAGGTAACACACGAATGTACAACTTGTGTTTGAAAACACTTAAATTTAAAGAAATGTTTAGTAAAGGGAACAAAAAGAATAGTTCAGGTTTCAGTAAAAGTGGCACAACCAGAAATGTTTAAAGCACTTTCTCAGTTCCTCATAAGAAATGTTTGATTTTTACATTAATAAAAAATATCTTAGTTATCA